GGAGACTCTTTGCGATCTGACACTATGAGCTAACCTCAGTTTCCTCACCACTCGCATTTGGAGGTATAAGAAGTCACTTTTTCACGTGTACACGGAGATGCGCTTTGAACCAGATTGGCATGAGCGTTGTGTGCATCATCAGTGATTGTTTAGTAAAAAGGCGTCTTTGATAAATTCAGTGGCGCCCGGATTCGGGAATTCCCTTCTTGCGTCGAGCTGGCTGTTTATATGCTTGAGGGCGTAAGCATATCTGCCATGTAAGTGCAAGCCGCGCACTGCGTGAGTTAGTGTAGCTGCTCGAACAGTGATGAATGGTTGTTGTTGCTTGATCACTTTTCACGAAGGTTGTGCGCGTGCGCGTTTGTTGTCAGGTATCATCGCTCTGGATGGAGGCAGCGTTGTTGACCTGTTCAGGGGTGCTTCTCAAAAAGTGTCGTTTGAAATGAAAGCAAAAATGTCGATAGCAGAATGCACCACCGAACGAACAAGTTTGCCGGAGGACGTCCACGCGTTTCTTTGCTTTGATCGCTCAAAGACTGGGGCTTTCCAGCCACACTGTTCACCTTCCTATGTTTTTTCTTAGCGCCAGATATGCGACAAAATATAACATACCGGAGATTCCAAAGTTATGAATTTCAATGCATAAAAATGTTACTGCGCAGATCTGACTGAACAGCAAAGCATCAGCTGCGATAACTGAAGCATCCGTTGCCTTCCATCTTGTGAAATCTCTCCCTGACACACGCTGTATTGCTTTTCCCATAGCGTATCCCTCAGTGACATGGCTAGGCTTCTTTCGAAAGAGGAGAAGTGGGGGAAGGAGAAGGAGCGGGAAAAGGGCATCTGGCTTGCTTTACCTAATTTGCGGATTGTTATTTTGCCAACCAGTGGTACTTTTTGTGCGTTTCTTTTTTTCAAAGCAGATTTGCTCGCACTATGGTCAATCAGTGTGCGTCCTCTGCTCGCATGCTTACAGCTGCCAGATCCAGAACGACTGTCCACTGAAGATCGAGAACCCTGGAAGTTTAATCTGCTTGCAAAATAGCTGCTTTCCCGGCAGTTGTGTCTTGAAACTTTCTTCGTTCCCGATATCCGGCTGCTCGGTTTCTGCTGGGGCTTCGTATTTTTTCTTCACCAGGCTTTATTTGTCAAGAATTCTGCACAGTTCTTTTTTTTTTTTTTTTTTGATGAAGAGGGATTTATGATGCACTGGGACGTATCACTCCACTGTTCGCTTTTTTGCGCCCTAATGACTGCAAAGTCTGTTGGTGTTTCACTTTGAGCTGCACATCCAGTTGGCGGCCAAGTTCCATTGGAAACGTCTTTCGAACAATCGCAGACCGACTCTTTCGCTCAGCAAGAACTACAGGACTGAGCACTCTGAAATACCTCATTTCCATCTTCATTTGTTGTTCACTGTTTGCACTGCGTACGCTCAGTATCTCGGAAGCACTCGCTTTTCGTGTTGCAATTATCATTTACCGCAAGGGACTCGTTTTCAGTACACTGAGCCACGTCTCTTTCCAGAGGCTTTTATTTC